CATTCAGACCCCATTACACTTCCATTACGTATCATGAGTCATGAAGAGAGAGCAACATTATTCATTATTACGAAATATGAATGCTTTTATTCATCTTGTCAGGGTCAAAGCATGCACGTATTTACTATCAATGCACATAACAGAACAGATAACATCAGCTCGTCAAACACATGATACCACACGTATCAGGAGTCTACTAATATTCTTTGAAAATAAGCCTATCCATGAACACCTTGATAAACTGCTTGGCAAACCCAATAAGTACTTGTGGTTATGACAAAGATGCTTGCAGAATCATAACCAAACTACTGTAAGTTGTAACAATAATAATCCCTGTTTTCTCTTGCTTTTTCCATTTCAACTCGGATCTTCATTTAGGTACAATCATCTCTTGAATACCTATTTATCACACATTTCAATCCATCTTCTGATGAAAACAAAAAAAAAATAACCAACGCTCACTCACTCCTCATCTCAATCTTTAAATATCTCAATCTCATCACATTTTCCACCAATCTTCTGATTGTGTCAATGTCAAAAAGGTAATCTCTTCGCAATTGTGAGTTGTCTCTTCCTGTCTGTGTCGAAAACAAAATTAAATAACAAACGCAAGGCCGTATAAAACAAACGCACACCTCTGTTGGCAGCCAGCCAGCCCAAACAATAACAAAGACCGAAGATACCAATGCGTAAATACAATTTGATTTAGTAGCCTTGTGATAATTCAGTTTGTATATAGCGCGCAACCACTGTCTCATAATAGGGTTGGGACCTATCTGCATGCTCTGTATGTTTTGGTAAAATAAAAAAGCTCAGAATTTTTAATGATTTAATTTAAAATCACTTTGTTAAAAAAATGCCTAGTTAGTTCAGAAATTAATTATTTGTGGCTGAAAACGACTTGCTTCTGATTGGTCGGGCTAATCATGACGTCACATGTAGGTATATAACTGTCTGTATATTTGGCGCAGTTGAGACGTACATTTTCTATGTATTTTCCTATGGTAAATCGGAGTGATTGGTCGTGATTTCAGTGTCTCTTTATTTTGCGCTGGTATTGCGTGGCTAAGAAGTTTTATCAAGAATGGCATATACTAAAATGTTCCTTTAATAATGGAGCTTCAATATCTGTGAGTTTTATTGGCAAGCGAAAACTGATTTCGCTGTTATTTTATCTGGAAATTACTCATTTTTTTTAGGTCAATATTCAAAATATTTTACGGGAACAAGTTGGCATTTTTCTTGATTGTTGCACTCAAATCGCGTGCGATTCAACTGTATTGGAACTTGCAAAGAAGCTTGGTGATTAATTAACTGTGTTGTTATGGCACTGTTTGCAAAGCATGGATAATGAAACTCTGCCAAAGACTTAGCTACATAGCAATGCCTCAAGTAATACGCAGGAGGGACAGAATTCAGAGTCCGATCGAGAAGAATCGGTGCAAATGCTACGAAGACCAGGCAGCTCTGATACAAGCTAGTCGTCTCACTACTCTCACTCCATTAGACCAGCTGATTCCTGACAGCACCGACTCGGATGCAAAGATGGAGCTCATCTTCCAAGCCAGAAACCAGTTCTTTGATGGAAGATGTGATGCTGCCTCTGTCTCTGCTTTGTTGGCCACTTGGACGGGGCGGAGCTCCGCTCCTTGCGTGAGCGGTTATTCGCCTGTCATCCAGAAATAGTTCCTTCGTTTGCTGGCCGTTCCCTGATTAGGTGTAATACGGGGAGCTGTAATCAGGGAAGTAACTTTCCATATGAAAGGGGTGCAGGTGCACCCCCGTCCCCCATCCACTAGAAGTGCACCCCCATAGGCTAAGCGGCGCCCCACACGCCGCCCCACACGATTAGCTCTAGAGCAGATGGCGAGGGTGATTTCTCGGCTACATTCCATCTCGGCGTCGTGATGCTTGTGGGCTTGGAAAGCGTCCAGTCGTATGTAGGGTAGTGTAGGGGTAGGGTTGAGTTCAATAAGGTCCTTACATTTGAAAGGTTTGAACAACCCGCAATCAGCACAACATACCACAAGTTAAATAAAAAACTACCAAACTCCGCCCAACTAATATTAATAAACATTACAGCCAAACTAATGGCCTAAATAAAAATATATCACAAATCCTAACAGTTATCGCGGGTGATGGCGCCATGAGTTGCTATTATCCAAAACAGATGCAAATAAACATGTTTGTATGTCCTATGTATGTTTGTTTTAAAAACGTTGCAGCGGCGCTGGGAACAGCAGTCTTAGATCTGGGCATGTTTGGCATCTGCAACTCTTCATATACACATTAACCCTATCTCGGACGGGGAGACCTTTCAGGATTTTCTTGTACAATTGCCAAACGCCGCGAGACATTCAGCTCATATTTGGTGACTTTTCCTAAATGCTCATTGCGCACATCTCAGCAAAAAAAAAAAAAATGCCGGGTCAGGTCAGGTCAGGTAACCAGAGCGGGTTTGTTGACCCCACCTCAGAAAAGTTTGCAAACACGTCAGAGCTTGAGTTTTTCACGAAGTTATTTCCTCTCATCAAGTCTTTAAAACAGTACCTGCAGTATGTGTCGTTTGTATATCTCAGAATTTTTGATCTGTGACCTGAGGTTAGGTCAGAGTCGTGACCTTTACATTGCAAGCCTATGGAAAAGTATTGAAATGCGACCTGCACCTCGAGTAAACGAGTCAAAACCACCCAATTCTTTAAGAATTATGACAAATTATCTTATCTGTAATGATCCAGGTGCCATTTACTGACAGGGACACCGGAGAGGGTTATCTGAGCCGAGATCATGTGAGGTGATATCTACCATACATCAATGCTCACAATACTTACAATATTGACAATGCTTTTGCTTACAACACTTACAATACTTACGATGAGACCAGCAAGCACTCTGCCGTTACAGTTCTAACTTCTGTTTCGAAAAATGACGTTACACACATTCGCTGCCAGCATAACATGTATTGCTTGACAGTAACAAAATACAATTGACATCTGAACCCCAAACGGACCGCCATCCACTCAAATTTTATAACCCTGACCGGTCAGGGGGCGAATGGAGGTCATTTCCTGGGCATTACACTCAACCCTTGCACAAAATATCTCACCTCACAGTGATCATTACAACAATAGCACCGACTTGATAGTGGATTTCAAAGTACTTGCATCAGCTCTTCCTGCTATTGCAGACGATCATCTCCTCAGGGTAATGTTGTTCGGGACATGAACGAAGATCGTTTTCGGAGTTTCATAAGTGCTACTGCAACAGCCTGGCACAAAACAGGACTTGTACGCTCTTCTCTGCACTTTGCCCTTCAGTATATCACAAAAGAATTGTTTAGAATCCATCTTACGCTTCTTTCACAGTCTCCCTTGCCACCGTAGGGCGTAGATAGATTGCTGTTGCTGGTAAGTTAAGGCACGGTAGATAGAAATTACCTCGGTTCTCAACGCCTTAAGTTATTTTCATAAAAAAGAACAAATAAATGATCAATAAGATGACAGGAATGTAAACATTTTAATCGTAAAGTAGTCCCAATATTGGAATGAGCTTTTGCTTTTCAGCATCCTCCGATTCATCATCTTTATCATTTGAAAATTCGAGGTACATAAAATGTTTATCACGCGCTCATGTTAAGTGGGAATATAGTACACGGCAGACACATCAATTTTTGACACTGAACATTTCATCCGTAAATGTTTTAGCATAATTTAAAGTTAAAAACAGCGCGAATGGCAGAATGAAGCAAACACCATCTTTCACCCATTGATATAACATGTAATCTGTGGTGCGCCAGATGCGCCATTAGTTGTCAACCGCAGAAGGTGACATGTGACGTAACAGCATCAAGAGCATCTTTTTTCAAGAACTTTTCAAAACAAGTTTCCTATCTTTCTTCCCCCATTTCTCTCAGCTTATTGATTTTATGAGGCAATGGTATGCACCATAAATTCTGTGAAAATAGTTTGATCATTTTCATGCATTCTTAAAAAATCGAGTTCCCAACCCCATTGTCCCTACCAGCCGCTAGACGCACTCCCGAGTTAGAAGGGGGATGTTCAAACACCCCACCCCCCCACACACACACACCAGGTCGTGGAAAATCCAGACTGACACTGGGGCGCGGGTTAAAGGTAGATTATGACCTTTTCCCACTTAATTGGAGTTGGGACCTTTTTTTAGTAGAACATGTATAAATATAATGTGAATTCATTGCATTTTGCCGAAATCACAAAATTACCATGTTTTTTTTAAGTTGAAGTAGCTCAAGCGCTCCGCGCTTGGTAGTGATGGGTGAGCAAGTACTTGCAGGTTTAAGTAAAATCGGTGAGTAAAAATAAATCAATATTTGAAATTTTTAGTACCACTAAAAACTAGTCAGTATGTCAAAAGATTCTTTTGATATATTGATACAAATACATTACCTTTCTTAGAATATCAGTGAGTCGAAATACATGTGTACCGGATGACATAAATTTCGTAGCTGCGTTCCATCTGATTTGAAAGGCCACAATAACGCACGGCTATGGGAATAACGCGTCGTTGTTTGAAACAAAAGCGCCGTACACTGCGACTTTTTGAAAGAGAAGGACAAAGCATTTCAGTGGGTTTTGCAAGTACTGCAAGTATTGCTTATTTTTTGTAAAAATAAAAACAGCTTTCACATACGAAAATGTGCCAGGAAATTTTTATCTTTTTAATAAACTGCAGTAAAAATAACATGAAGGTCGAATAATTTTTATTTAAGAAAAAAGAAAGCTCATTATCTCCCTTTAAGCAAACCTACCTTTACAATCATCCATATGAAAATAATTTAACCAGTAGGTACTCAGCAATGCCTTATTTTCCTTCCATGTAGGTATTCGAGTACTACACCCCATGTTTATCGTTCATGACACGCTCCATATTAAGTGATAGGATCTGATACATGGGCTATCCGACTCTATAGTGCCCCGCGCCATCCCATTCATTTGTACTAGTTCACGGAATAACGTACTTACCAGTTCGACGATAGTCCCGCGCCCCTGTTCCCCTACATACATACCGCTCGGTGCATTACACAGGAAAAGTGGTCAGTCGTCATTATTAATGTCCGTGTCGACGAAATAGTCGTGTACTTACCGGTATGCATCGATCGGCGTCCCAGATCGGAATGCCATCGGATGCATACATAAATTTATGAATGTGAATGCATTCCTTCTTTAAGGTTGCCTGCGGGCATTGGTGGGGCGGATATGGAAGTTGTGATAAAAAATGGGCGGTGACTGCACAGGCGATTGCTGTGTGCAGAACACTGATGGTATAGTGGCAGTGGTGGTGACACTGGTGATGGTGTTGCTAGTGGTGCTAGTTAAGTCTGATAGTGGTGATGGTCGTGAGTTGTGACACCAGTTGCGGTGTGAGTTGCAGTGACGGTGGCACCAAATGGCGACTGTTGCGGAACTGTTTTCAATTGGCTGTCCCCAGTGCACAATACACACAACTGGTGGCCGTTATACCGGCGTCAGCGCGACATAGGTCGCGCCCCCGCTGTGTGTGTGCTGGGGGGGGGGAGGGTTGTACCCCAGGGACCACGTGCACGCTGGTATAGTCGGTGGCCCGTGCGAATACCAGCCACCACGCCAGGACTGCCAACCGCCGACCGGCTCAGTAGCGCCGGCTGGCTCTTCAGGAGAGACGTAAACTCTGTGACGCATTAACCTTCGGAGAAGTTTGCTGCGGATGTCAAGGGCTTTGTGGACTGAATTGTGGACGTTACTGTCTCTTCCACGTGAGGTGGCAGACTTCCAGGAAGTGGACAGCGGACGTGGACGGTAGAGGTGGACGCCTCTGCGCTGTATGCCGCTCTGTAATATTTACCTGTCGGAGAGCTCGGCGAAATGTATGGCCTGTACCAGCACTACCACAAGAAGTGGGTGATCGCGCGGCAGCAGCAGCAGCAGCAGCAGCAGCAGCAGCAGCAGCAGCAGCAGCAGGTCGGCCAGCAGATGGAGGCAGAGCTTCAGATGCAGATGCAGAGGACAGGACACTTGAAACGGCCGGGGCGTCAGGTGAGGCTGGTGGGTGCACAGTGCACACTGCACGTGCGCACGTATAGAGGTTGGCTAGGGCGGATAAGTGATCCTTTTTAGCATATTTTTATCTTTTACATTAACTACATTTTGCGGTGTCAGTAATTGAGGTCACCGCTGAATGTTATGCGTGTTGTTCAATGGTAATACAATAAGTTTTTTTCCTTATCTAAAACACGTTGAAACTTTTTTATTTCTATTTCCTTTTAACCATTGCTTTTTCTAAAATTCGGAAAGTCTGTTAGTCAGATAATACAGCTGTTAAAAACGATTCGTCACCTTTTTATAAATCATATACACATCGAATACTTGAATGGAATGGACTGTAAGGAGCCTCAAGTATCGAGCGATGGAGCGACTCGAGCCCGGGATCTCACTACCGGGAGTCCAACACCTTACAAACCAAGTTAAGACTTGGCTTGGACCGACACCTTTCATCTAAGTTAATGTAATTCACATGACGATATTCATTGGACATCTGTGCTACAGCCAGTTGAGCTATCCAGTTTTAGGGTGATTTTGTAGCATTTGCCTGCTTTCATTCTGAAGCTGTGCCTTTCAACATTTAGCTGACAGACAAAGGCACAATCTAGACCACACCAGATCAATACTATCATATTGGCTTCCACCATTGCTGCAATGCTGCACTACTTCGTACTTACATAGCACTGATCGATGCAGCGCTGGCCACGGCCACATAACCACTCGAAAATATGTACTTATACCTCAGTCACAGTTCCGAACAGACGTAATAACTGTTTGAATCGGTGGAGGTCGATGGGCTTTGCTTCGACCATCGTCGAAGTGAAAAATCTGACGAGTGGCATCATAAAGCGGTTTCAGTGCCGGTGTAGATCGTAAACAAATGTGATGCTGAATATACGCACTGACGTAGGTATCATGTGCATTAGATATTAAACACAGGAACAGTATAGTCGACTACAGAATGATGTTTCACTCCTCAGAAGCTATCAGTTGACCGGAGCGCTAAGTTGTGCCGTTTATCACGCAATTAAAGGGACTATCCCACCTTTAACATGGGGTTTGAGTTGAGATAGCCAAGTTTGCGGCGAGGTTCAGAAACCACTATCTATCTAGGTTGCAACCCCCGCGGCCTCTTGGTGTTGAAGAAATTCGTTCCCTTCATTTGAAAATGGGCCTTGTACAAGGCCCTATCTTCAAAACATGGAGCGACCGTTAGTGTGACGTCACCTCGTTTTGTCATTCTGATTTAAATGGGTTTGTTCGTTGAAAAATCGCTTAAAACTTGGTCTGAACTTTGTTGTGGTGCCTACAGAGTAAAAAGAATCAGCTTTATGACAGTAATGTGGCCTGGGGAAGGAGGTAATTTTGGGCTGTGACGTCACATATTTGAAAGTTTGTGTTTGGAATATGGGAAGCCTAAGATGTTTAATGAAAAATAAATGCTAGAACCGTGTTCCTGGTCATGCAATCTATAAAGTCGGGCACAATTTAACTGGTTTTAACAACATTTCAGAAGGTGGAATAGTCCCTTTAAGCGTGTCGATTGTGGGCGTTGGGACAAAGCTATAATTTGTGAACTCAGCCCGTGTGATGCGGCACAGCCTACCACTTCAGGCAAATAATTGCCTGTGAAAAGTGGAACATCATTCTGTAGTCGACTATACATATCGAAAATTAGAATGCAAACTAAAACATTTTATCGCTACAAACTTAGAGGCAATAATGTTCATTCCATAAGTGGTGATACTTTCTTTCCATGTTTATCTCTCTCCCTCCCTATCTCACTCCTACCCTCCCTCCCTCCCTCCCTCTCTCTCTCTCTCTCTCTCTCTCTCTCTCTCTCTCTCTCTCTCTCTCTCTCTCACTCTCTCTCTCTCTCTCTCTCTCTCTCTCTCTCTCTCTCTCTCTCTCTCTCTCTCTCTCTCTCTCTCTCTCTCTCTCTCTCTCTCTTAATCCAATGCGCTTGATTTTGATACTTATGTCAGGAGCGGCAAAAAAAGTTGGATTGGATAGCATGGTTTTGATCGTGACATGCTTATGGGCGGAACGATCTTGTCTATATGTTTATTTATCTATCTTTTATTGTTTTTCTTCTTCGGGCACTAGCCTACCCAGAGGCGGATCCAGTTCAGAGTTTTTGTTTGGGGGGGGGGGCAAACCATAACAATTTATCTATTCTTTCCATGCCTCGTCCATAGGCGTAATGGTAAAATTATGCCGTTTGGGAGGGGCAAATGCCCATTTTGCCCCCCCCCCCTGGATCCGCCACTGAGCCTACCCTCGATCGACACTTCGATAGCACACTGCAACGACATACCTACGAAACCTCTTCGGTGTCGCCTACGCAGATTAACAGCACTATGAAAATTACAGTAACCCTATTTCAATCATATGACGTCATTTACACCCCATGACCTATGACGTCATTTTCTCAGGTGAACTGGCGAGAGGCAGGCCTGCAGCGCCGAAAGATCGCCGACTGTCAGATCATCCTGTGTCTGATCACGTGCGGTCTGCTGATTCTGATCGCCGGCTCCGGGATGCTGGCTGCAGCCGTGTTCGTACTCGGGCGTGAGTTGGTTGGCGGACGGGGGTCGGTCAGAGGTCACAGATAGCCTCACAGAGCCAATCGCGGCTCTAGTTCTACATGAGCCTGCCGGGGGATGGTGATGGTAGTAAAGTGATGTGATCATAATGCATTTTGATCGCGCGATATTCGTGAATTCTGCAATGCAATGTTAAAGGTACGGTTCTATTGCCTCACACTATGTTTTATATAGCTTGAATTTATTGGACTTGCAGCAATCTAAACAAAAGCACATCGACGTTTTCTCTGTCTTATCTAATATATATCCCAATCATTCAACGGTGTAATCGCGTTTTGGATGCTACGTCCACAGTAATGATCCCAGTGTGCCGATAACTCCTTTCTTTTTCCCAGCGCACCTCCATTGTCTCACATTGAGGTGACGTCCCTCTCCTGTCCTCCTATAATATGCATATGGCCCATCATGTGTTGACTAGTATGGCCAACAGCTCATCTACTATGCCTAATACTACGCGTACCCTAGTATGCCTAAAACCCCTCGGTGTTCCGCCAGGTGACGACCCGCTGATGCTGATTGGCCCCGTGTTTGCCGGCTGCGGCCTGCTCGTGCTCCTCCTCAGTGTAGAGGTGTGCGTTCACCGCAGAAAGGTGGTCAGGCTCGCCGACGACCTCAGCTCAGGTCAGTGACGTGACGCCATGGCTGCTGCGTTAGTTTTTATCTCGAAGTAGGGTCCTGTCGGTCTACTGAGATCTCCAAAGGCCGTGCCAATAGTGATTAGAGGATAAAATGGAAAAGCTGAGTTGAGTCGAACCTGGAGTCGAGCACCACTACCGGCACGCCTTAGTGACTTAGCCGCTTCATTTGGGACGGGTTTTGCGGTGAGACAGGCCAGCTGCGTTAACGGTTCAGGCCAGTGGCTCGAGTGACTCAGCAAAGTTCAACCAATTCATGAGCCGCGAATCAGGACATTATTAAGCATGGAAACACATTTTCAACGCTATCACACAAATGATCTCAGTGCACTGACGACCCCTCGACCCCGTCAGTGCCTACTGACGGCACTGACGGTGAACGGACCAGCACTCTGCATAATCTTAGCTCAAGCGTAAGATCACTTTAGATTGCTAGGGTTAAGATATCTCATTTCTGTGACACAATGCCTCTGACAATTTCAGGCGCCCTGCAATATCAATCGGACTCCCTTGTGACCTTGACCTGACATGCCTGCCGTTGACCTTCCACTGATCTCGGCAGACGAGGAGGACGGCCATTTCATTGACGAGGCGCTCATTCCGTATGGTTTCGGCCACTACCCTGTAACGGCGGACCAGCCCAGCACATCAGCGGATCCAAGTAGTACGGTACGACAACTATAGTTAGTTGCACGTAGGTATAAGATACAGCAAATGTATAGAAACAT